ATCGCATAACAGAATGTTGGAGACGATTCATTCACATTACAATGCACACACCAGATTCCCCGAACGCAGAACACAAACATACGGACATGGGAACAGGCTCGCTTTTCGTTTCATTGGACTTTTCTCTGTCCGCTCGACAGTTCAGATCACAAAGATTCAGGACCTGATCCATTACTTTGAGTGCATTCAAACTTGATCAGATGTGGGTTGATAGTGAACCGGCGATTGTTGTTGCCTCTGGTCAGATGCACCAATCACCTAGGCTACTATCTGGTAAAGTGGTGAATTGACGCAAATTCCATCGTGTTATGAGGTGGACAGGGCACAGATTAGGACGGTAATTTANAGGTTTTCAACGAATTCTATTCGGTTCTTTACCTTTTTAGATATACAGCGATATATATATATATAGGTCAGCAGCATTTGAGTGTTCCGTTCAAAATCTTGTCTCAGCTGCGGATACGAAATCCGGGTTTATGCTCTGAGTAAACAAACCCTTTTCCTCATACATAATGTATCAACCCACGGTCGGAATTCAGCCGACCTGCCAGGTATACATCGATTGTGACAAATACATATTAGTGTCAAGGAGCAACCAATCCCATTTCTACATACATTGGAGAGACAGGATGCACTGCGATTAAGTCGTGTATGTGTATACATCGGCATGTGAACCACTCATAGTGACCCGGTATCAAACCGAGAGTTGTTTGTCCGGTGTCCGGCAACACGGGGGTCATAAACATTGCGGGAGTAAGGGNGGGATGGGATCGAATCTCCCCTGATCTAAAAGATAACGAAGGCTTCCGCATAGGATTTCCAACCGCATTGCATGTAAACAATTCCAGTTTGGGACCTGGAGATCGGTGTGCCTCCGAGATGTGCATTGTTCTTAAAACAATGAGGTGTCATTCAACTGTGCTTTGTGATCGGCTGTCAACTGTACGTTCAGGGATGAAAAACGTCAATCCAGAGACATTTTTAATCGAAATCAACTCATTGGTAGAGAAGATAAAGAGATTTATACCAAATCTGCACAGCATTGCACTAGACAGAAACAGGGTTTAGGAACTCTCCCAGTTTGGAAAATAAACAATAATTTATTTTTTTGGTAATCAAAATAAAGATCCTTGAAAAGATTCCCGATATGTGAACAGGGCTTAAATTATAATGCCAAGTTGCTCATTTCTAAACTTATTTTGCACACTCTCGAGTCATGCGTTCTGTGGGTTTAAGCCTATTGCCAAAGCTCTTTTACCTTTTACAGCACTTAAACAAAACTGCTTACTCCAAGTCCAAACAAATCTCAACCCTGGATCAAATCGAAATTCAAATCGAAATTTATTCAATTGGGACTGTCTTAACATGTACGATAATATTATAAAGTTTACACATCTAAGGTGAAGTGCATCGGATACAAGGAGGAGGCTAATATACAAGATAGAATGTCGTTCATACGTTGGATTATCTTGCGAAAGTTTCGAATCATATGTGTCAGGACACACTGCATTTGTTTTACCAGTGACATAGATAAGTAATTTTCAACATCTGACAACTAGACAAAGCAGTGAACTAACCGCAATACGGGAAAACTAAATTCGCACACACTAATAAGCAATGTCAAGGAAACCGACACGAAAAACGAGACGTAGTTAACGAGTTTCCACGTCGAAACCTTCATCTCAGATATTTCAGATCCCGTGATATGGGTTTAGATTTCATGTTTCTGGCCACTGGAGATCATATATTCGCACCAGCTAATATCGGTGTCCCAAAATCAACTCATTCCTACCGGTGAATGGGTTAAAAAAGAAAGTCTCTTCGGCATAGATCTGGGACAGCTTTGGCTGCTTATTTGTAGCCGATGATTATGGAAGCAGGTAGGGAAACTTATCGGGGCTCAGTGATTACCGAGTACGGGGGAGTCATTCGAAGAAGTAAGAGTCTGAATCAGAAATTACTTACAGACCAATGTGTGTTTTAGGTTCTGCTAATTGCCCATATAAATTGATTTTTACTGTACGTGACAAGGTATCATGCACTATGAGGGTTGCGTAGTATAGCTAATGATTGCAGAAAAAAATGAATGATTGTACATTGTTCAAATTTCGACTGATGATTGCAATCAGAAGCATGCACAAGCGAAAGGAGACAGTGTGTGTTAGTGCAACAAAGTTGCATTTGATCAAGCTCGAACAGCTTAAAATCCCAGTATATTTCCTCTATCTGGCAAACTGGACCCATGCTGTCATGTACGGCGCTAAACACTGTCACTGACCCCAATCGAACGACTTTTCTACGAGTTATCGCACTGCAAAACCAGACCGTTGGATTTATTGGTCAAAGTTTTTCTATCAAGTACATATAATAATGGATTCCGTGTGTCAACTTTCTGCAACTGTACGTCTTACAATCGAATAATATCACATTTTATTCGGCCGATGAAACCAAAACGTATGCTTGGTCATGTGATATGAAATACGCTTTCTAACAGCAATAATAAAGTTTTAGAGCTTCACTCAAAGTTTTTGCTTGTCGAATAACCACATTTATAATTTATTTCACACCTTTGTTTTGTTTATCCAAACAGTCCAAGAATAGTCATGACTCGTAGTCAAACAAATGGATTATATGCGGCGTGAAAGGAACAGTGATAGTGCGCATGAAATCGTTACTGGTCGTTCGTTAAATTGGACAGACAGTCTGTATCAAAAGTGTTCCAAGTTCCACGTCGGTCCAATTGTTCGATTTTAATCGAACTGAATGGTTCTCTTCTCCGACCTGTTCGTGACAGCTCACTAGTCAGTTGTGTGGGAAAACGTAATAAATGCCTCTAACGTGTGTGAATACGTTGCGTTAAGGTTCCGACGGTCTCACTCGAAACTGACAGTTGGTTTTCCTTTTTTAACCGAGATTCGGAACGAAGGTCTTGTACCTAGCGATTCATCCTGAAAATTTGTTCAGCCAGTTGAATTGATTGGTTGCGTCATGGTAACAATAAATCAATGTAGCGAATGAGTCTGTGGATTTATTTAATTGCCAAAAAACACCAAATAGCATGCATAAAGATGTTGACAAAACAGGTGTTCGAATTCGAACGTCATATCACTCATAAATATATTTCCAGTTAAATTTAAACCGACAGGTCCCATCACTGATAAAGTTAATAGTTGATTTTGTGGATGCCAACAGCAGTAGAATGCAAATTGGTTTCATAAACTGCTTGCATCAATCAGTATTTCAACAATGCCCATGAATTTGAGGTTGAGGTACATACAATAACCCTGCCGATTTTACTATGCTAAGGAGGGAAGGGAAAGAGTACTTTTCCCATAATCCTTCAGGAGCTTTCAGATACCTTCTCAAAGAATGCATTAAAATGAATTTATTGAGCATCAGTGCAAAAAAAATTAGCATGATAGTCGGAAGTGGAAAGAAACTCACTAATGACTTTGAGCCAATTTTCTCGCCTCAAAATCACAAAACGTGACTCTCGGAAAGTGTCCCGATTCCTCCCATTGCCTGCCACGCGCCAAGTCGTACAGCACTCGCACACCGTAAAAGTTATATTCCACTCCAGTGTAGTATTCCAGTAAATAGATCTGTCCAATAGTATTCACAAGGTACAATAATTTGACAAACATGTGCAGCCGGACCAGAAAATTGCCCTGATAACGTCCACAACAGGAACAACCGGAGTTGGAGATAATTGATCCCCCTCGAGATTGTTGAGTACATCCACAACCGGGACAATTTCTACCGCCACATGAATGATCTTCATCCACGGATACGCTCGGCCAAACCGATTCTGTTTCCAGCTTGGTACCGAGCGTATGTGAAAGCTTAGACTGGCAGCTGTTTCCCAAGCGCAGTTTATCAACAGTATCCATGTTAACTCTTTTCAGCGATCCCGATATTGATAGATGCCGATTGCATGGACACCCGTTGCACCGGTTTGATGGGGCTAAGGTGCTAGTGGATCGATGTGATCCACTGGCACGTCCACACGAACCACAGCACTTGCAACCAAAACCGCGTCGACTGCCGGCACTACAACAACCACCACCACAGCAGCAACAAAGCTGACATGCTTTTCGAGCACACCAACTGGCTAAACCGCAGCAACATAGTAAATCTAAACAATTAGTTCCTTTTGGTTTGTACAGAGAATCACGCTCGGTAACCGATAAACGTACCGGCTCGTGTTTGGTGAAAGGCCCCGTGCTGGTGATAGGGGAATAAAAAGAGGATTTGAAGGGTTCATCTGTGCCTTCCAAATTAAAAGAAGCCAATTTGAAGAGGGTTTGTGATGTATCGTATCCATGAGGACTCATTCCTAAGATTGGATCCACCGGGCCGGATATTCGGCCAGTTCTTGCGGCTGATCGAGATGCACTCCGTAGGACGGTCTCGTTTGTGGNTGGTAATCACGGTGTCATTCACGGGCAATCGACCCAAAAGCACAGCTAAACGCAGTTCCCGCTGTCGCATCAAACACATGTCTAGATATCGGGCTAGGGTGCGAACCGATTTGGTAGGTGCAAAACTGGTCGTGGCGNNNNCCGGCGGAATGGACCAAGTTGAACAGATTCTGAATAGATAATCTGGTTCGATTAGAATTAGCAGGTTCGGTGGATGTGGGTTGAGCAGATGCGTCCGCCTCGGTTGGAGCTGCGAGGGCAGCTTCGGAAGCCAGTTGCATAATCCGTCGAAGCTATCAGGTTTGTTTTCGGGGAGACGATGATAAAGGAATCGATAAAAAATAGTGTTTGAATCATTCTAACCGTTAAATTTGCCAAGGAACTTTGTAATAACATGTAAGACCAATCTTAGCGTTCATCAACGAAGCTCTGCCACGAGAGTTTAGTTTGATAAGTAGTTACTAGTAATCACTCAATATTCTTGTGTGAGAGGAAATCATTTTGAAAATATTGTTGAATATTTCCACTTGGAACAAAGTACGGCACGCATGCAAAATAGAATCGTGCACGCGGAATTTTACCGTAAGATGCGGTTAAAATATTTATACAAGGTGGGGAGACAAGTGAATGCTTTTCTTTCACTGAAATAATACCAGGTTAGTGCTTTATTCGGATTTTGATGAGAATTTTCTAATTTTAAATAATCATTCATATTGATTTTCACAGCACAGCACTATACAATACATATTCATACAGATCTAGGTGTATATGCAAAAGTGGGTAGTCATATAGGGGAGTCTGCAAGGAGTTGAGTTCATAGCTTTCGTTCTTTGTGGGGTAGCTACGGATCTTGTTAAGGTGTTTCAAAATTCGCCAGTCATTTTGCTGTGATATGAAGTTGACATCTCAATTTCACCGGGTCTTCGAGCCAGATGAGCTTCAGCTAACAACGTTATAACTTTATTGAGATCACGAGACCTCCTCTGCTTAGTAAGCCAAACGTTTTCAATGGGACATTCTCAAAAGACATACATTTCAGTGAATGTACAGTAAAGTTAAAATGATTTGAAACATAAAGAAAAGTTGGACGTTTATTCTGTTGCATTGTAATCTGCCGTGCTGCTAACAGAATTCTAAAAGTGGTGCAAACAGGTCATGAGTAGCCTCCAGTCACTGGCTGTGGTCGTTGTCATGAAGAGCACGGCGTCCAGCTAATTATAAGGCGAACACTGACTCGATCGGGTTGTGTAATGGTTTTTTGTTTGCTCAAGTAGTATTATGTTCATCGATTTGGGAATGAGTGAATTTATGTGAATAAGCTGGGCACTAATGCACTCGACATGGAACGAAATCAGTGAAAATCATGATTTCCAGTGGTTCCCCGGTTAATGAAATTTGTCCGTCAGCTTCCATGATCGATGATGTTTACACCATACACGAAACAATCACGTTATGTGTTAGACACTAGGTTCACTTTTTCGCACTATTCTTCGAGTTAGTTAGATGGGAACTCTGCAAATTCACAAGGCGTACATGTCTCAATGAATTGTTTTGCTACACTCCATATTAGTAAACAGAGAGGAGGGTGAGTTCACTCGGCTTCTCAGATTTAGATGAAAATATTTATTTTCGCAATCTTATCTATCAGAACACGGAGTCCGATTCATGCGCTTTAAATAGTTATTTAGTTTATAGAATTTTCAAGTCTGCCAACATAAAAACCGATATCTGACATATTTTGTCCCCAAAAGTTTCCTCTGTCGTCGATCAACCACAAGTGTTGTGCAATTCTACTATCGAAGTGTTTCTTCCTGTTTCAGTGCTATATTCCGCGCTGATTAAAAAGCAACTGTTAATTCCTAAAGCGAAACGGACGCGTAATAGAGGGCAACATCAATGAGTATTTTGTAGCATAATGTTTTCAAGAAAACTCCTTAGGCCAAACTTTCACCAGCATACATTAATTGGTGCGTTTGCACTGTCTGGTCAACAACTCCCAGTCCGTCTTCTCTCTCTCCTCCCAAGAATAGCTTTAGTTTGATAACTAATTCCATCGGTAAGCTTCTGGTCTGTGGACCCAGAAGTGGAACCAAAAACATTCTGGGTACTCTGTCCATTGTTCGCGTCTATACGGGTTCTTACCTTGACTTTGCCAAACCCAATCTGGCACGATCAACCCGTACTAGACTCACTATTACTACCTTTGTTTTCCATGGCATCGTATTTGAAGATTGTAGTTTTATTGTGTTTCTATCGCTAATAGCTTCAATTAATATAACGTGTTTCCGAAGTAGCCAAGAGAGTAAAAAACTAGCCTATATGGCGAACGTAAACCACACCATAACCTTATGGGAAGCTGCAACAAAAGAAATATTGGGATGCAGCAATAATCTCTTTGAAAACATTTAAAAATTTCATTATTTTCAAACTGGATAATTAGCACTGATATCATTGTCCAGCACTGATTTTCCTAAATCTTGGTTACTACATATTAGTTCATTCATTTACCGCGCAATATGGTCCTATTACATTGTGTATATGGTTTTCTTTCCACATTTACTTGAATTTAATTTCTCTTTTACTGTCGCTGACGATTGTCATTCCTTGAGAATGACTTTCGTACACTCGATGCAGATGCATCTCCTTATACGTAAACTCTGTATATGATAAAAACGTATACAGTTACATCAGCTGTACTGTAGACTAGATGTACAAAACGTTTGCATGCACCCCAGTCCCCGGGGTTCAGCGCGTACAGTTGTTCATGTCACTCAACGGATCTGTTTTACAAGAAAACTATTTGAGCAGACACACTATAGCTGATTGATTCGTTTGTCATTCCGGATGCTGTGCACTGACGTGGAAACTGAAACAATCTGTTCAAAGAGCAAGCATAAATGTCTCTGACAAACTACTCACTTCTCGTTACACGCACCTCTTTTGGGACATAAGATATTTAGCTTTCAATCGCATCTAACGCGCACTGTTCAGCTTGGATAACGCCTCCAGTGTAATACAGTGAACAGTGGATATTCAGATTACCGACAGCAAATAGGGAAATGTTGTTTAACTTGTAGCCACCCAAACCTTGGCCCCAATCCATTGACGGGTGAAATGTGAAATTTGTTTAACTTGATAAGCAACGGTAACATTGAGGGAGCAGATACAAAAAAAGCTATCGTTCGGCACTTCCGCGTAGAGTTGGGTGGGGTTCCGCACTAATAGCAACATTGCGATCAATGAGAACAGCGCTATTGTCTCCCACATCGGACGAGCAGGAATTGCTTATCGAACACAGCCCTACATAAGGCACGCGCACACACACACACGTGCTCGCGTTGCTCTACCATTTACTGTGGGTTTATCGCGTGAATACGCTTCAACTACGTTCCTGGCGCAAAACACTTGTCACCATCGCGGAGATGTACAGGGCATAGACCAAGGTTACCTTGTCGCGCAGGTATAGAGACAGAACGCTCAGACGTTGGTGATTGTATGCGTGTGTCAGTGTGCCGGACAAACAAATGAAATTCCACTCGGTGGAAATAACCAACTATTTCAGGAAAACGCTCCACTTTCATATTTCCCGTCTGGTCTGACTGAAGGTATGGAGAGTGTGGAATAGAGTAAAGTATTTTTAACAGTTCACTGATTCAGTAAAGGAAAGTGATTAAAACAGAAGAGGTTGTTCGACAACAGTCAACAGCTAGACAAAAAGGACTATATTCTGAGTATCTTTCAAAATACATTGCGATTTTTTCGGTTTATTTTACACCACTCGTTCGATCTCATCCCTGACTTCGTTCAGTTGAATTCCATTAATGAATCTTAATGCGTGCTTACTGGAAAAGTTTCCAAGATTTACGCAAGTGGTAATCCCTCAACCTGAAATGAATGATCAGGGGCTATCAATATTTGTCATACGCTGTTTGTTGCCTGTTGGTCATTCGTGTGCTGATGGTACCTTAGCTGTGTACATTCCATGTTCACTTGGTATTATAACCACTTTAGAGAGTCAACGAGATACGTGTTGTCGTTCATACTAACTGAACAAGCGTCACAGCCCTAGTTGTTGCCTATTTATCTGGTTGATCGATGAAGGAATCCGATCCTGCCCTACCGCTTGTTGGGTTTACATGGAGGAATAAATTACGAAGGCTATGCTTTTCGAAGGTTTGTAGTGTCACCCTGGTAAATTACTGAGCATGATTTCCGCCAGTGTTTGTTCAATCTTCTAACACTTGTTCCGATCGTTCGCCAGTGAGCGAAATGCGACCCTATAGTCATTAGTTCAGTTGTTATTATAGTCTGTTCTCGCGCTCGTCTTCTGTCGATACCGGTGCTCCATGCATTGATTTCGATGCACTTAGGGAACGAAGAACACTTTACCTTAGGAGTGAAGCGATTCAACTGCACGTCTACAAACCGAATTTCTGTATCCAACAACAGTGCAAACGCTGATAAACAAA